ACTCTCGCCTCCCCCCCCCCCCCCCCCCCCAAAGAACAGACTGGCCTGTGACCATTATCCAGGTCACCAACCCAGTTACTAGGAATTCTGAAGCTTCATGCCTGTCACTTTGTTTTCAGAATGATGCAGTAAGAGAATGCTTTAGTACTTTAAACCCACCTGTCTAGAGGAACTAGGCTTTGTGAGGAAGGTGGGTTTTCATTTAGCTATTAAAGCAAAGACAAACCAACCCACCCAGGAAAACTGCAATACACCAACCCCCAAACCAAACCTTATGCATTTTATCCTCATTTTCCATTTTGGTTTGAGTTTGACCATGAAATTTTTATTGGAGGTACTGCTCATTTGCTTGAATTTCACAGAAAGTCTTCTCAGCCTTTTTATACATTTAGAAACCACAGTACCCAAAAAGGTTCATATATATTTTCTTTGGGACACTTTTTATTTTGTTGCTACAGTATTTAAATTACAAGCTTGGGTGACGGTTTCAAATACAATTATTTACTCCTTTTCCTAGAGGAAGCGTAAGTTAAATGTATTACAAATAGTTACTAGTCCTTTCAGATGGTTTTTGTTTTACATTACAGTACAAAGTAGGCATAATGTGTTTTCTTAGAAGGGTAACATCCCTTTAGGTATGGAGTGGAACAGTACCCAGTCACACAAGAATCTGGACTTCCAATCTACTCTGCTTATTTGAAAGATTGCCCTTTACTTCCAAAAACCCTAAACAAGAGTTTCCCTTTCCTTTAGACTGCTTCCTACAGCTTGTCAGCAGGGCTATGAGATTCCCAAGTATGAAAGCAAAGAGACTGTAAAAATTTTAAGATATGGGCTGTGTCTAGATTACAGAGTTCTGCTGGCATGTCTGGGCTGTGAAATACCTGCTTCCTCACCGACACTGTTGTGAAAACAAGCCTGTAGTCTAGTGTGGCTGCGCTACAGCACGGTGCTCTTCTCAGTGTAGTCTATGTCATTTGGTGTGAGGGTGTTAATTATGTCATCAGAAAGCTCTTTTTGGCAGCTCAGTGTGCTGACTCTACATCAAAAATCTTGTTGGTTTTGCTCTATTGCAAGAATCTCTTCAAAATAATTATGCTCAAAGAATAAACTGGAAGGTGGGGGTTTCTAGTAGAGTGCTGTAGGTGATTAAGTGGCCACGACTTCTTTGAAGGCACACTATTAGCCTGAAAGCCAGTTATATTTTAAGAAATGACTTCTAACTACTGTCTAGTACTGAACCATTCCTTGAATTTTCCTACCAACTACAAGTTATTTTATGCTGGTGTAGTATGTTTCCTCTACTGCTAAGCAGATCAGCCATAGAGACAGTGGTGGAGAAGGAAATAAAATAAATAAAAACTTATACAAAAAGGGCTCTAAAATGCACAAAGGAGCGCAGGGAAAAAAGTGCCTTTTTCCTCTGTTTTCTTCCTGCTTGTAACAATCGTAGCTGTTGCTCAGTATTATTTTACATCAAAATACTCAAGAGAAATAACTGTTCAGATCAACTATTTCTTTTAGCTGGGATTTACCTGACTGGAAGATCCTAACCCCCAGGCAGGCAGAAGCAATGCCACCACACGTTGAGCAGAGTGTGTGGGAAGGCCAACACCAGG